GAATCATTTAAAATAATCATTTGAATTCTCTTTTCATTCCAAAATTTTTTGCAACTTTTGACATCACTGTGAATGCAGAACACTGTTAAACGCTAGATTTTTTTGTGCTAGCTTACTTTCACATCAAGAATCCCTAGAAATGTGATCACTGAAGAATGAGACCAAACTATAACTTTCCAAAATTTTATCAAAGCAAGTCAAGTATTCTCACCCAGAGAAAAATAACGGCAGGGTTCGAGTCCCTCCACAAAGTTTGTCACCAATCCTCATCCTAGCAATCCAAGTGGCAAAACTTCAGCAACTCAAGTGGGGCCCTCTCAAAAGCTTGCTCCATGTGAAAGGCCCTCATTAAACCCAGAGTTATATTTAGGAAAAAAATGGAACAGAAGTTATATTTAGATGAAAAGGCTTAAAGGAATTTTACCAAAAGCAGCATGTTTATACTGATGTGAACAAAAGGAAAAGTTTTCCTTAGCTTTTTTACACACAACTCCTGAAAACAGTATCTCTTTATGCACACAAAACATTTCTGCTTGGGTTCCTTTGTGTCAAGAAGACAACAGGAATGCCTAAGGCATCACCAAGACTGCCCACAGTAGATAACGGGGTGCAAACGACTTATAAACGAGTACAAAGGTTTGAAGACCACAATTTCTTACAGAAGTTTAGTTGAGATGGTCTGAGGAGGATGTGAACAACTTGGAGCTTAAGCTGCACCAGACCAACCAAACCCGCTGCTGTTGCTATTGTGTCAATTCAGAGTCATGGAGTAGAACTGCTCCATAGGGTTTCTTGGCTGTAATCTTTACAGAAGCAAATCACCAGGCATTTCCTCCAGAGCCATTGTATGGGTTCACATCTCCAACCTGCAGGTTAACAGTCAAGTACAAACCATTTGTGCCAACCAGGGACCTTTCAAGGGAGCTCTGGTAGCACAGTGCCTAAGGCACTTGACTACTAACCAGAAGGCTGGTGGTTCAAACCCACCAGCCACTCCTCGGAAGGAAGGTTGGGCAATCTACTTCCATAGTGATACCACCTTGGAAACCCAAGGAGGGATCGCTGTGAGTTGGGTGCAATTCAATGGCATATAACAACAAGAAGGGACTTTCCAAGCTGCACACAAATAACACAATGCAATGCAATGCAATGCAGTGCCATAGAGTCAGATCTGACTCATAGCGACCCCCCCTTGGGTTTCCAAGGCAGTATCACTACAGAAGTAGACTGCCCCACCTTTCTTCTGAGGAGGGGCTGGTGGGTTTGAACCACCAGCCTTCTGGCTGCACAGTAGCTCTTAAATTCATAAACAACACAAAAACCAGAAGTTCCCTCAATGTCCACATTTTTCAAAATGTTATTTGCACTTATATCATTATCCCAGCCAAACTACATTCAACAATTTTTTGGAGAGAGAAAGACACTATAATTAGTCTTCAACTATTTTTGATACTTTTTTCTGTGTTAACTTACACTTCCCTAGCAAAATTCTAGTCAATAGCACTGAGGTGATTTAGTAAATCTAAGAAGCCTTTTCATGAATGAATGTGTAACTTTCCAAGTGATTACTAGAAATAAAAAATGATTTGTGGCAGATGTTCCTACCTTCACAGGCCACGTGGTCCCTGAGGCTCCAAATAAGAATCAATCAGGGCTCAGAGGCTCAGGACACACCCCAGATTAAGAGGACCAAATGTCTACAAGGAGATTCTTTAAAGAGCCTCAGGAAAAGGCCACTTCCTAGCCAAACTAAACTGCAGAGCAAAGGCAATAGATACAAAGGGAGGAGGTGGCCAGGATATAGAAGTGGCCCTGCCCCTCCACACCTCCCGCCCCTTGTACAGCAAGAAATATGCCAGTGGGTAAAATTGTTCAAGTACTGCTATCTCCTAGTCCTAGAGTCAATAAATCACTGAAGCACTCCAGCCAATCCCCTCCCCCCTTTGCTTCTGGCATGAGTTTTCCAGAACAGCAGAGAACTGGTGCGACTCAACATTATACCACTCTTATACCCTAGAACAGGAAAGCCTGGGGGTGTGCAATTTAGAGTTAAAATAGGAAAAGCCCTAGGATACAACAAAGAGAAACCAGATCATACATCCCAGTATCAGTCATGTTCCTTCCCATTCCTCTACCTTGTATCCATGTACATTCTTTTTACCAGGCTGGGAACTCAACAGAGGGCCACTTCATCTTCATCTACAGTGAGAATTACATTAATGACATTCATATAATCATCAAGAGGAAAAGCATCAGTTTAGACAATGAAGTGCTCAAGTGTTTCCTCATTTGCTTTCCTGACTGCCTATGATTCCCAAGGTCAGGGTCAACGTAGCAGGTTATACTGAGTTGATCTAAGTGCAGAAAACTTCCCTGATACATCAAGGAAATTTGTAACCAGACAGGATTTGTAGCAATCCTGTCACCATCCAGTGGATTCTGACTCATGACAATTTCAAGTGTATCAGATTTAGAACTATGCTCCATAAGGTTTTCAATGGCTGATTTTTTTTTTTTTTTTTCTTTAACCATTTGTTAAAAAAGGACCTCCCATACTCATATATGAGCCAGAGAAATGCTGGGAGAATTCTCTTGGAAGACATGGGAATGGGATAGGACATAGATAAATTATGGCTTTTAGAAAGGGTCAAAGGAGTCCTGGTAGCACAGTGGTTAAGTTCTTGGCAGCTAAACGGAAGAATGGCAGTTCAAACCCACCAGCCATTCTGCAGGAGAACGATGTCACATTCAACTTCAGTAAATATTTACAGCCTTAGAAACCCAATGGGGCAGTTCTACTCTGGCCCCTACAGGGCCACTGAGTTGGAATCAACTAGACGGCTGTAGGTTTTTGGTGTAAGGGTCACAAGGAGAAAGTGAATGTCATAGGTAGCTAGAAAGGGGCACATGGGTCAGGAAAGGAAATGGCTGCAGTGATGAGCAAGGGCATTCAGAGGCACATAGAGGAATAATGTTGGCTTCCCCAAGGAAAGCTCCCAACAGCCCACACAAACCTGGATGTAGTAATCAAAAATCCCCAGTACCATCAAGAATCAGCCTTTGGAACACTTAAACAGTAGAAGGGAGGGTGGTTGGGAGGGACCAACACAAATGGAAAATCTGTCCTACTTGGGCTCTTCCCAGCAGCAGCAGCAGCATATAGGAGAGGCAGTTGTCAGAACACCCAAGATGTTGAACCAGACAGGCTGGAAGGATCAAAATGCGCTAAGGGGAAATGGGCTTACATAGGAACATGCTTGAGAGGGAAATAACTAATTACATTTGGGTCATTTTTTGGTGGCTTTTTCTGCACCAGGATCTCGTTCAGGCTTGCAGACCTGACCCCTCTCTTCATCCAAATGGTAAATGGAAAATAAAATTTCAGTGATAGAACATTTCTGCCAGTAAAGTCACAGGAACCCGAACCAAAATTTTCAGAACTGAGCTGCCTCTGTCTGAGGGCATGGGAGAGAATCAGTGAAGAACAACCTAAAGTTGTGGCAGCTTATTTTTACTCAACTTTTACCTCACCGTTTCTTGGTGTTTTTTTTTTTTCCCCCTCCATATGAATAAGAAAAAGCAAGAGCCATAGATGCATAAGCAGCTTTCACCTTAAAGGTCACACAAATACTGGGGACGTCCTGAGGTGCTCCAGCCCAACAATACCAACGCAATGGGGTTGCCCCAGCTTGAACGAAGAGGCTGTGTGGTCCTGCTGCCCCTAAGGATACAGCTCCCGTCCCCATACCCCCTCTGGCGGTAAGAGTGCCCCCATGGCACCGAGAGTGGATGGATGCCACCGCTCTCCGCCTACTGCTCATTCAGCACCGAGAGTTTCTCAGAGGATCCTCTAATCATGATCGTTATTTAAGGGTAGTTTGAGCATAATGTGGGTTTAACACAGGTTTGTTCGGACCCGATCCTAAGGCTCCTCCCTTCCTCCTCTCACTCCCCACCCCCATTAATCCAAAACGAACAGGCTGGCACTAGGAAGCTGAACGAGATGCAAGAATAACTACTACAGAGGGCATTGCGCCCGAGCGACAGCGCGCAGGGGCCTAGCATTTAGTAGGTAAACGCACATCCAAGACTTGCCATCACACTAAACACCTGGGAAGGGCACCCGAGTGTAGAGTGTTGGTTCGGGGGACACAAAGGCCTCGCCAGGCCCAGGCTGCGCCCCTCGCGACGCAGGGGGGAGGGCGTTTAGGGCCAAAGAGGGGGACGAAGGAATCCGCCCTCATTTGCACGTCGTCTGGGGCCGAGTCAATTTGCTTAATCACCGCTCCAAATGCCAGCGCGCAGCACACAATACGCGCCCATTAACAGGTCTAAAGTATCGCTGTGCTTGCTTTAAATGAGAAAAGCTGCCAACAAAGGGGGAAAAAGCCAAGTTCCTCAACTTGAAGAATGCCTAGGGTCGTCCTCAAAATCATCTCGGCAGTTTAAATAAGTCCAGCTCCGCAGAAAAATTGAGGTCCCAGTGTGAGGGCTGGGGGTTGGGGAGGGGGTTGTGAAAACCCGCCACCAAAACTAGGCTTCTTACGAACCAGCTCACAGCATCTCAGAGAAACCGGAATCTGGGGTGGCAACGTCGCCAACCCTGCTCTCCCGGCCCCTTGCCCAACTGCCAGGAAAGCTGATTGATTTCCAGCAAGAAAAGTGAGACCCTCAAGAGCAGGCACAAATCCAAGTTTTCTTTTGCTGCAAGCAAATAATTTTGGAGGCTAAGGAAGTCCCCAAAAGTAGACCCCAAAGCATCTCCCCCGCATAAGTAGACAATTAATTTGAAGTTAGTTTCTTCCAGGCACTGGCCAGCGTAGCCAAACGCTCTGGGCAGCAACGCGGAGCCTCAGCCGCCACAGAGTTCAGCTCCGCAAACAAGTTCTGCCCAGACTCCGCGCAGGACCGTCCCATCCCCCACCCCATGGCCGAGTCCAGGGGCGCATCCCGCAGCCCCAGCCTCCCACCCGCTCTGGCGCTGCCGGATGGCCACTCACCGTGCGCGCTCCTCCGGGAGACAGGGGACCGTTGGGAAGATACGGGCTGCTGAGGTCTGGGATCATCAGAAAGGGGTACCCAGGGTAGGGAGGCCCCTTAAAGAACGCGCCGTCCTGGGGCCTTCTCACTGCGGGCAAGACAAGACATGGGTAAGGCCGGGGTCCTCCAGGCCGCGCCGAGGCAAGAGACCCGGGCGGGGGCCGAGACCCAGCGCCCCTCACGCGCGCCCCAGGGCCGCAGTCGCAGAGAGGGACCAGAGGAATTGAGTATGGGCAGCGGGATTAAGACTGGTAGGCGGCCGAAGCCGAGGCGCGGAGCGCAGCGGGGTCCCCGGCCAAGGGCCAGGGGCGAAGCCTGGAGGGGTTGCTGCCTGGGCAGGCACGTACCTTCAGCGAAATAGTCCCGCGGCTTCTGGAAAGCGTCCCGGGCGGTCTGCGGGCGCCTCTCCGCCTGCGGAGGAGACACAAAGGCGCGGGCGAGTGAGCGGGAGCTGGGCCGGGGGTCCCCGGGGGCGGGCCGCGGGAACCTCCTTACCTCCGAGTCGGAGCTGCTGCTCTGGTTCTCTGACTCGTTGACCAGGGACGACTTGACCTCGTCCAGGTCCCGCTGCGCTGAGGCACTGTCGCTGCTCGGTTCCTGCTCCTCGCCCCCCTCGTCCTGGAATGGGATCAGCTCGTCGTTCGCCCCGAGGTCGTCTCCTCCGCCGGCCGCTCCGGCGCCCGAGCCGCCGCCTCCCCCGCCACCTCCTGCGCCGCCGCCACCGCCGAGCTGGGGCATGGTGGGGCCACGGGCCGGGGCCACCGCTCTCGGAGCCCCTCGGAGCCCGCGCCCTGCCCGGCCCGGCCCGGCGCCCCTCCCTCCCGCTCGCGGGCCTGCTCCGCTCGCTACCCCCGCCGCAGCAGCAGCAGCAGCAGCAACAGCAGCAACAAAGTTTGACAGGGCGTGGCCCGGCGGGAAGCGGGGCTGGCTCGGCCGGGCCGGGGCGGGGACGACTCGGCTCAGGCCCCTGCGGCAGCGCGGAGCCCAGGACTCCCCAACTCGCCACCGCTGCAGCCTGCTCCGCCGGGGCGTCCCAGCGCTGGCCCGCCGGGGAGGGGCGAGCAGGGAAGGAGGGAGGGACCGCCCGGTCGGGCTAGGGGGCCGGAGGGAGGAGCCCCGGCTGCAAGCTGACACCCGCGCGCCTCGCAGAACCCAAAGAGCTTCAGCGCGCGCGCGCGCACACACACACACTCACACTTGAACACAACTCACACCTTCTGGGGGCTACACCTCCCCGCAGAGTGCGCCGCCCCCACCCCAAGCTTCGGTCCGCACTCCTGGGGGCCCTCCCGTAACTCCCGGGAGAAAAGCCAGAGTCACGCCTCCACCACTTCGCATCCACCTAACTTTCTTCTAAAATACCCCAGAACTCCCCATGAGCTCCATACCTCCTCCCACCCTATCCGCGCACTGGCAAGCGGCACTGCCCCCTGCGGGAAAGCCTCGGACACAGACCAGCCGTGGACAGTCCCAAATTCCTGGAGTCCCTTGGAACGCGAGATTGGCCGGTCCTGGTCGCCTTAGCCGGGATGAAAGACAAAACCGAAAACCAAACCCACCGCTGTCGAGTGGTTTCCAACTCACAGAGACCCTATATGACGGAGTAGATCTGCCCCATACCGTTTCCAAGGCAGTAAGAAGTTATGGAAGCAGACTGCCCATCATGTTTCTTCCGCGGAGTGTCTGGTGGGTTGGAACTGCGACCATTTGGTTAGCAGTTGAATGTCTTAACCAAGGTTTGGGGAAATTATGGCACCCCAAAATATCCGAGCAGCCTTCTGCTCCTCTTTCCTGTGGGGTTCCAACCCCCTCAGCTCAGGTTTTCGACGTTGTCCGGGGGTTCAGAGTGACACCCCACCTCCACCACTTCACCCCTTTCCTGTACTTTGACATTAGGTCCGAAATCGCGTAACTCACGATCTTCTGTTGCGAAGGGATTCGGTTCGTTTAGAGGAAAAATTCTCTATCCAGTGAGCAGTGAAGCCATTCACAAAAGCTGCCTGGGTAGCCAATGAACATACGAAAAATGTCAAACCAGCCTCATACTTAAATGCCTGTTACATCATTCAGATATGATCTCTCCAATCAGTTCAGCAAAGTTTTAAAAAGGGGATAATATCTAGTGTCATCCGGAAGTGGGGGAATTAGTGGTGAGAGCATAATTTTAAAAGCAGACTGGAGACCAGTAAGGGAACATCTAAAACTCTTTTATATCACTGACAGAAGTTGTCTACAGAGATACTGGTACATATGCACAGAGTTAAACAAATATACAAGGAAGTTCAAAGCATCAGAAGGATTGCTAAGATGAGTTTGGGGTCTTCCTTATTGTAAGATTCTATTCAGCAACCTGCTCAACAAAATGAGGCCTCTTCACATTGATATGCTAGAAGGGGATGGGAGATAAATGAAACAGACAATATATATGGCACGCTATTTCATTTTTATTTTTTAAACAATGACATACTTATATTTGTCTCCACATTGAAAAACTTCTGTCACAACACACACAACAAATGATTGTGAGTGAGTATTTCTGGGGAAGAAGATGGTTGGGAAGAGCAAGTTTTGTTTTCTTATTTTCTAGTGTATTTCATCATTTACTTACAACAAGCAGGTATGCTGCTTCCATTTAAAAAAAAATACAGAAATGCAGTCTCATAAAACTTTTTCAAACAACATAGGTATATCTGGAATAATATCTTGAGTAAAAAGTAAAAATTCCTCTTTCCTCCCAGGACACAGGATCCTCCCTCTCCCCCTTCCCCCACCTCAATTAACCACTGTTAATAAATAGCTTGATGTATATCCCTACGAACATTTTCCTAGGCATTGTATACACATACATACACAAATATTTAGATCTGGTTTTATGTAAAAAGAATTACACTGTTGAGTTTTTTTGTGTGCGATATGTTATTTTTGTAAGTTTTTAAAAGTTAGCAGCTTTTTCCTGTGGCCCATAAAAAAAGCCTATTGTATTAGTTTCCTGTGACTGCCATAACAAGTCACCACAAAGTTGGTGGTTTAAAATGACAGAAATTTATTCTTTCACAGTTCTGGAGGCAGAAATCCAAAATCAGTTTCACTGAGGAAAATCAAGATGTCAGCAGAGCCACACTCCCGTCTCGAGACTCAAAGGAAGAATCTTTTCCTTCCTTCTAGCTTTCAATGTCTGCCACCATTCCTTAATTTATGGCCATGTCACTGCAATCTCTGCCACTGTGGTCACATTGTCTTCTCTTCTGTTTGTGTCAAATCTTCATCCTCCTCCCTCTTTTTTTTTTTTTTTTTTTTTCTTTCTACACAATTATTCTTTTTTTTTTAATTTTATTTTGATTTGGGTGAAGATTTACAGAGTAAATTCACTTTTCATACAGCAGTATGTATACTTTGTCTCATGTCATTGACCAAAATTTACAATGCAACAGCTCCCCTCCCACTTCCTCCCCATAGTTACCTCTTCCCAGTGTCCATCCCTCCATACTCTTCTGCGCCCTGAGCTGTCTCCCTGTGCATAAGCAGCCCTTCCTTCTCCCATGATTGTTCTCTCCAGGGTGTGTGTCTACTTGAGGTAAATGTTTAACTCACTTGCCTGTTCTTTGTTTGGCTGGAAACCACAGGTGTGGGTTCAATCCCAGACCTGAAGGGCAGCTAGGGGCCATAGTCTCAGTGGTTTCACCAATCCTCCTCCCTCTTATAAGGAAATTTATAATGGTATTTAGGGCCCATCTAGATAACCCAAGATAATCTCCCCAAGGCAGGATCCTTAACTTAATCACATCTGCAAAAAAAAAAAAAAAAAAAAACCTTGTCATTAGAAGTAACATTCACAGGTTCCAGGGATCAGATCTTGGACATATCTTTCTGTGTCATCATCAGCCAACCACAGCTTTCAACCTCAAAGAAATGCAAATTAAACAACATAGAGATACTATTTTCCAACTATCAGATTGGCAAAGGTAGAAAAGAATGTTAACACCCAGCGTTGGCCCCTGTGCTAAGAAACACATGTAGCTACTGGGTGTGCCATTGTGTAACATTTCTGAAGAACCAACAAATCTGTCCTGGAAGAAGTACAGCCAAAATGTTCCTTGAAAGCAAGAATGGCCAGACTTCGTCTCACCTACTTTGGTGGTGTCATGCTTGGTAAAGTGGAGGGTCAGTGCAAAAGGGGAAGGCCCTCAACAAGATGAATTGACACAGTGGCTGCAATGATGGGCTCAGGTATAGCAAGGACTGTGAGGCCGGCACAGGACAGAGCAGTGTTTTCTTTCTGTTGTACACAGGGTGGCTGTGAGTCAGAGCCTACTCAACAACAACATATGGGAGGATGAGCACAGGGTATATGCAAATACAATGCCAATTTAGATAAGTGACTTGAGCGTCCATGGGGACCTGGAATCAACCCCCTCCAAGGTATCTGAGGGATGACTGTACGTTTGAAAAACGTTTGAAAGTGTAAATCTTTTGACTCATTGATGTATTTCTAGGATTTTATACTAAGAAAATTACCAGTACACAAATAAACCTGTAGAAGTATATTCATCACAGTGTTGTTTGTAACAGTGAAAAGATGAAAACAATCTCAGTGTCTCCAAATAGAAATTGTTAAATAAATTATGGTGCACTTATCAATGGAATGCTATAACATTGTGGAAAATACCTTTGTTAATGTGGAAAGAGGTTCATGATAGTAAGTAAAAGTACAAAAAAAGAAACCATACTCACTGCCGTGGAGTTGGATCTGACTAGAAGTGACCCCTCATTGGGTTTCCGAGGTGATATCATTGCAGAAGTAGATTGCCCAACCTTCCTTCCAAGGAGTGGCTGGTGGGTTTGAATCACCAGCCTTCTGGTTAGCAGTCAAGTGCCTTAGGCAGCATGCTACCAGAGCTCCTAAGTGAAAGTAGGATATTAAAATTAACATATATAGATTTCTGCTTTCCCTTGTACTGGAGTATTGATATCAGATTGAACCTCCACCAAGAACAGTAAACTTTGCAGAAAAGTACCAAAATATCCCCAAATAACCCCAGCTGATTTGAAGGCATTGTGATCAGCCAAGTCAGCCAAAACTTGAGGAGCCAAGATCCCATAGATAAAGGAAGTGAATTTATGTTTGCTGCTGCTTAATCTGCATAGGATATTTGGTGATTTGTAGTGCTAGGTATAGAAGGCAAAGAAAAAGCAACTGTCTCGAGTAAGGATCAACAAATTGCGGGCCACAGTCTGATTTTGTATGGCGCTCTGGTGGCATAGTGCCTAAGGCATTTGACTGCTAACCAGGACTCTGGCTTTTCAAACCCACCAGCTGCTCCTTGGAAGGAAGACTAGGCAATCTATTTCTGTAGAGATACCACCTCAGAAACCCAAGGAGGGATCGCTATGAGTTGGGATTGACAGCAGCGAGTTTGGTTTGGTTTAATCTAAGAATGGATTTTATAGTTTTAAATGATAGAAAAATACCAAATACCAAAAGAAGAATAGTATTTTGTGACATATGAAACTGAAATTTCAGGTAAACTGTTATTAGAACATAGCCATGCTCATGTTGCCTATGACATATCTGACATGGTAGGGTTTAGTGGTTGCAATAGAGACTGTGTGTGGTACTGTCATTGCTTCATCCCACTGCTCAGTGCACTAAAAAGCACAACGATGCGGTGATAACCTCAGCAAATACATTGCAAATAATATTTGAATTTATCCAAGTGTCATATTTATCACTGTACCGT